GCTGATTGGCTGAGTGAGGGTGGTCCTCTCTTTTTAATTTTTCTGTCTGGAAAAAGCATGGTCTAAAGATGGTCTGGTCTGTATCTCTTTGTGGTCTCTCTCTCTAGTGTCTCTCTCTGGTTTCTTTCTGGTCTTTCTCTCTGCTCTATCTTTCTGGTCTCTCTCTCTCGTCTCTCTAGTCTCTCTGTTTTTACTGTCTGGTCTCTCTCTATTCTCTGTCTCTCTGATCTTTCTATCTGGTCTCTCTAGTCCCTCTATTCCCTCTCTTTGGTCTCTATCTCTGGTCTCTCTCTCTCGTATTTGTCTCCCTGGTCTCTCTCTCTCTGGTTTCTCTGGAGTCTCTCTATCTTTGGTCTCTCTCTCTAGTCTCTGTCTCTCTGGTCTCTCTTTCTGGTTTCTCTCGAGTCTCCCTCTCTCTGGTCTCTCTCTCTCTGGTCTCTCTACTCCCTCTCTCTGGTCTCTCTCTCTCTGGTCTCTCAACTCCCTCTCTCTGGTCTCTCTCTCTGGTCTCTCTCTAGTCTCTCTACTCCCTCTCTCTGGTCTCTCTCTCTGGTCTCTCAACTCCCTCTCTCTGGTCTCTCAACTCCCTCTCTCTGGTCTCTCTCTCTGGTCTCTCTCTAGTCTCTCTACTCCCTCTCTCTGGTCTCTCTCTCTGGTCTCTCTCTCAGTGGCAGGCATCATATTTAATCACATATCCACCCCCTATCTTCAACTATTCACATACAATCGTTCTCTGCCGCCACTCAAAAACACACATATAGCTAATTAGCAACTAGCCACTCATCTCTGGTCCCGATATGAGAGTCCCCACAATGCACTATTCTAATGTATGACTCTAGCTGTGGCCATTACCTGTGATTTGGAATGAGTAAAGCAGAGGGAGCTGTCTGAGAGTGCGGAGGAGAGGAAGGTGCGAGATAAGAGGAGAGCTGCAGTCTGTGATGTGTGAATCAAGTTTAATCCATTTGGCAGCGTCCTCTGTCCGCCTTTCTGTTTGACTGCTCTTCAATCGCCGCTAGCAGCAAAACCACACAAGTTTAACCTCTGGAAAATCTGTGCTGAAATTCTCTGGGGACAAAAGAAACGCTAATTTAAGAGGGAGAGTTTATGCCCTATGTACTCCAGTTAGTTACCTTATTAGTGCCAGACGCGGGGAAATAATATTGAATGACATTTTCAGTACAGATGTTTAAAAGCCGAGGTACCCAATTTTCAAACCACAAAATATGGAACTAATATCTATTCGACTTCTTCACAAAACGGTTTGGTTCTATCACACATTTTTGAATGTATTTTCTCTGTCACAGCTTTAACCTGCAGAAAAATTAAAAAAAGCCAATCAGCTCAAAGCATCCTATAGTGACAGGGCTCTTTTTATAGTATGCAAACGTTCGATTTTTTTTTTTTTTTTGATAATACAAAGGCAGCACACTGTTTTGTTCATCTGATTTGTTCATCATTGGGGCTCAAATCAAAAGAAACAATTAGAAAGCTCTCATGTTCCCTTCCATTCTCTGGTTTCTTCCTGAATTGCTGCAACTTGATACTGTATGCTGCTATTTCATTTAGGTCCAATCCATATTATGGGTGAAAAAATATAGTCTAATGCTGTATATATATATAACCATGACCCAATAAGCAGTCAATAAACCAATCATTATAATCAATCTAGAAATACCATCTCTAGATACCAACTAGAGATGAAGAGAAAATGCAAGAAGAGAAGAGCAATGTACAATCAAAGTCTGTCAAAAGCACTGCTGAAACCCTTTTCATGTCAGAGTTTGTCATAAATTTGTCTCACATCAAATTTATGACAAACTCTGACAAAAGACAAAAGTTCAGGGAAACCTGTGGGGGAAAATTCAAGCCGAGAAAAGCTCATGAAGCAGGGAGCTATAGTGGTGTCTCTTCTTCTATGGTGCCAAATGGGTTCATTAGTCAAAGAAACATATTGCCAACTTCTTAGCATAATTGTCCATGAGCTATGTAATCACTGTGACAGGTACTCATGGTATATGTGTGCTGCTTTGATTTTCTATTAGTCTAAAATTAATAAAAGGTTAATTTTGCTTCAGTGAAAACAAAGGTCTGAAAATGAGTAGACGATATGACTTCAAGTGGAGGAGGCTACTCTTTACAGTGGACCTATCATGACTAAAGCCTTTCCAAAATCTAAAAAAAATCCCTTTATTTTACGAACATTTATGTCACTTACCAGACCTTATAGACCTACGTTGATATTTTGTTGATTCCATTGGACGGCTTTTGGGATTAACCAGAATTTGAGATTAATGGATGGAAGAGGTCACACAATTACTGTGAGTGAGGGAAGAGAACACCTTTTAGTTTAGCGTGTGAATTCTGCCTCTATATGTGCAAGCGCCCTCCAGCTATTTCCTTCCACCTCTAATCCAGTAATTGCTCATTAAGATCAGAATCAGAAGATTATTTGTGGCAGGGTTCGTTGGTGCATGTGTAAGTCGCCCATGTTAGATTGTCTATTCAGTGTTCTAAAATACGGACTGAATTGCATATTTTCTAGCTGCACACGTTGGCTCCTCTTTCCCAGTGTGATTTGATAACCGAGCTTGCTTCATTTAAGATTAGATGTGGCGGTGGGTAAATTAACTGGCACGCGTGGCCAACCACAAATTGCCTGAAAAACAGTCAAGGTTTATTTGGCACAAAGGCAAAGCGATGCTGCTGGCTGTTTAATTTGGTGAATTTTCTTCGGTGCTCCTCCAGCGATGATACGGCCAGATAGACAGTTCAGGCCTGGGAAGAATCAGGCACGATGTGGCAGGAGTGATTTATTTGACAAGAAGAAATACATTTCTCTGTATAATATGGTAATTGTAATGGTCGCAGCAGATTACTCCTATTCGCTCATAATACAGTATATTTTTTTTAATACAGTATAATTTTTTCACTTCTCCACCGACTCCCACTGATGACTTCTGTCGTTGTGTCCTTGGGCAAGACACTTAACCCCACTTTGCCCAAAAGCCCCAACTGAAAGATCAAGGCTATGCTCACACTCAGAGAGCAGCTGTCCTCCTGTGGACTCACCACCTGCAGAGGGTCAGTGAGGGGCTGGTGCTATGAGACTTGGGTGGCATCTCTGACTGCCACCCCCCTGACCCAGAAATGGATTAAAGGGTAGAAAATGGATGGATGGATGGATGGATAATTTTTTCACAATTTACTTATTGCTGCACATCCTCAGCAATGCAACCTCTTCTGAGCTTATACAACAAGCTCTAAAGATTTTAGATAAAAAACCGAGGTCACATCATCATTGCAAAATTGTTGAGAAATATAAATGATTAACATTTGAGAGTGATCCAGTTTGCAAATATCTGTCTTATATATAAAACTTTCCAAAATTTGGCGAAAAGGTGTGAGAAGGTGAGAATCAGATCCACCAGAGCCACATCCAGGGGAGACTTATATGAACTTTAGGTCCTCCTCATTTGGTCAGAACTGTTTCTCTGTTAAAGCAGCAGTGGCCTGGAACTCACTACCTCTGTCTGTGCGGGCCTGGAACTCACTACCTCTGTCTGTGCGGGGCCTGGAACTCACTACCTCTGTCTGTGCGGGCCTGGAACTCACTACCTCTGTCTGTGCGGGCCTGGAACTCAATACCTCTGTCTGTGCGGGGCCTGGAACTCACTACCTCTGTCTGTGCGGGCCTGGAACTCACTACCTCTGTCTGTGCGGGCCTGGAACTAACTACCTCTGTCTGTGCGGGCCTGGAACTCACTACCTCTGTCTGTGCGGGCCTGGAACTCACTACCTCTGTCTGTGCGGGCCTGGAACTCACTACCTCTGTCTGTGCGGGCCTGGAACTCACTACCTCTGTCTGTGCGGGCCTGGAACTCACTACCTCTGTCTGTGCGGGAGAGTAGCTCACTAGGACAGTTTAAACTCAGCCTAAAAAACTGGCTCAAAGAGAATCAAGTCTGTAGTCATTAGACAGATGTACATAATTGTGTGTTGTATATTTTGTATGCATAGTTTTGTGTCTGTGTGATTAGAGGTGTTGTATTTTACCTGTATTTTATTAATTAGGCCATTGATTCTTTCTATACCAATTATTTGCACACTGTAAACCTGCTGTCACGTTGCCTCTGCCTCAGGGACTACGGATGAAAATTAGCCATAGCTATATCCGGTCTGAAGAATACATTTATTGTGCAATGTCCCTGTCAAATAAACAAATAAATAAATACAATAAAATAAAAATATACCCAATTGGTTCAAAGGGATGAGAAATAGTCTGTTATCATTCAAATTAATAGTATTTTCTGAATGGGGTCACGGTCCAAAGTTATAAGAACAGAAAAATTAAACCCAAAATAACCCAAAGTAAGAGTTGAAATTCCCGTACTTTTTTGACACTATTGTGTAATTATGTAATTCTTTCAATTATAATGTGGTCTTCAGCACTATTGTGATGTCAAAATATTAGAAAACTACAGGAAATAGTTTTGTTTAGTTCTAGTAGTAGCTGTAGCAATAGTGGATTTGTAATGTTTGTAAATAATATCGGTGCTTCTAGTCGTATCAAAGGCAATTAGAGTATGATAATTAATTTGTATGCATATTTGTTGTACTTAATTGTAGCATTATCTCGGTAGTATTAGCACTTATAGTAGTAACACTTGTACAAGCAGTAACCATATGGTGATGCTGTATTCAGATGTTATCAAATGTAGCAGCTTCTGTCTGAGCCTGCGGGCCGTGCGCTCTGGAAACTGTTGAACTGAACTGAAAGTGGGACAATCTGAAGAAATGATTTGTGTTTCACCTCAAACAGCTCGGGTCAAACTGGCTTTCCCCCGGGGACCAGACACCAATCACTATAACTTTTTCTCTCTCTCTTTTCCTTCAACGTCCTTCACACCCTCCCATCTCTCTCACTCTCCCCCCTCCCTGTATCTGTTCATATCTCACTCCCCCCCACCTTTGTATCTGTCCATCTCTCACTTCTGCAGTGTAAAACCTTAGCGGGCATCTGCGACCACATCATCTCTCTGTCCTCCGACTCCCTGGTGTCTCAGTCGGCCCATCTGGAGGTGGTCCATCTCACCAGCATCTTACCCAACGAAGGCCTGGTATGGACACAAACAAAAACAAACACACACGCAGACACACACACACACACACACAGTATAAGCTAATTTTATCATTCCTGTCTGTGATTCATGTTTCTTGGGAGTAAACTTTTCTGTTAATAGTTACATAGATAAGGCAGAGCTGACATTCAATATCTACCAATACTCGATATGAACCAATACCAGTGAAGGGACTGAAAAGAGTCATTCTCTCCCATCTCAAATAACTTATGGATCCAAATGTGCTTTTACTGTCATTTATGCTTATGTTTGAGTTAAAGGGGCAGTATGTGAAAATCCGGCCAAAAGTGGTACTGCAACCTCTCCCACTCTCCCTGACTCCGGTTGCCAGATATGCAGACGAATCCAGCTGGGACCGTGATATCTGAATAGACAAGAGTTTTGTCAACAAATCTATAACGAACACCTTTTTCACAAAGGCCCTGACAGAAATCCTTGTTTTATTCCTTGTTTTGTCGTTAATGGTTTGAGAATCATAAGGAGACCTTTTTCGACACGGCAAATAATCTATGACATAGATAGGCTTAAAGTGAACTTCAACTTCAGAAAGGTATTTTTTTGAGCAAAAAATCTAACTTTGCTTTTCTAATTTTGGCTCAGAGAAATAACTCACCCTATTTGTACGAGTTGATAATTTTGAATCCTTATTTAGAAAAAAAAAAAAAATGATAAGGAGTGTAAGGTTGAAAATATACAAGTGTCTGGTTCAGCCAACCCCCTTTCCAAACCTTGTGTAAATATTATATTATTCTGTTGTAAAATTATGCTAATGCTGGTTTTTGGAATAAACATGTGAATGAAATAAGATGTATATATTATCGCAACTGTAAGTTTTCTGGCTTAGTCATTCTGCTTGGGCCAGTGTAGATAATCTGTACCACCATCACCAGTGTGTCATGTAAATTCTACATCAGAGTAAGATAAAAATGTGTCAACCGTGTCTCGATAATCACAGTCCACATCTGTGTGCTCCAGGGCATGTACATCAAATCCACGTACGATGGTCTGCACGTCATCACCGGCACCACGGAGAATGTGAGTCTCCGCTTTCACTTGGACTGAAACTCGACTCTGAGCATATTTACGATTTATAGTGACATGAAACCTTCTCTTCGTATCTGTTTCACCCTCACCCTCTCCCCCTACCCTCCCCCTCAGTCTCCGGCCGATCAGTGCAAGAAGATCCACGCAGGGGACGAGGTGATCCAGGTCAATCATCAGACGGTGGTGAGTCTCTCTCCTTCACTCGGGAGATTTGCTTTTGGCCTGAATCAGAACGTCCCACACAATCTAGGCACAAAATCAAATATTATATCACCAGAAAATATTTAGCAGCAATCTACAACATACACACTCCAGCCAAAAAAAGACAACTGAATGCGCCAAGGTTTCAGATTTGTTGAAAAGGAAGATTGTTGCCATGGTGATTGATATAATAAAATCAAACAAAAAATGTATTTTAATGGAAAAAAAGTTTTCTTAAAATGCCATGGAATATAATGTGTGAAACAGGGGCCCAGGCCTTTAAATACCACCAGATGTACATTTTCTATTTCCATAATTGGATTGTTTTTAATCCCAATATCAGTAGTTTCGTGTTAAAAAAATAATTTTCAGATTTAAATCCAAAGTGCTCTATTTGATAATCTATGACAACTGTGGCTTGTTTGTTTATATTTAATACATTTGAAATCTCAATATTGACGATGAATAAGATGATCTGGTTCAGAAAGTAAAATTGTTATAATATCTTTATATACTGTATTTCATAAAAATGAATATTATCAGGATCTATTGAGTTTGAAGACATGCCAGAGACTCAGCTTCAATTAAAAAACACATTTATAATTTCATTAGTGAAATTTTGTAATAACTTTTGTGTGGTTTTTCGTGTACCTAAAAGCCTTTCAATCTTTTGTATTTTTTAGTAATTTTTTGTTTGATACCTAAGAGAAAATTGCGAGCATGTTTCTCTTCCAGAACCACATGCAATAACATTATACGTTTAATACTTACCATTTTTGGCTGAAATAAAGCATAGATCTTCTTTTGTACGTCCACCCTGGTTCATTTGTGAGCTGTGATTGTGTCTCTATGTAGGCTAATGAAGTTTGGAGCTGTAGAAGATTATTGGCCGCTTGTTACAAAAACCTTTCGAGTTTGATATGATTGCCTGCGCTTTGTTCTCCCATGTTTTATTCACTCACAAAACTAAACAAAGCATTTAGTTTAAAATGTGGATTCGTAATCTGCTTTCCCTATAATACTAATACTAATGCAAGACATGTAGCTTACAATTGGTTTCGTAATGCGCTGTTTTGTGCTTTGTGCCGAAGTCCATCTCATCTGAATAAGTAGAATCCCTCTGAAATCCTTGTTTTGTTGTCCATCTTATCAGCTTAAAACATACAAATATCTTAACCCTCCCAGAGTGTAATGGCTCCGCTTATGGACGTTTTTAGTCTGCATAACTTTGGGACTTTTTCTGTTCCTATATACTGTTCCTTTTGATGCAACTATGTTTGTGAAATGATCTCAATACTAAACTGGTTTAGAGAAATCTTAGCTTGGAGAAGCGCTAGTCACCATAGCAACACACTGTTTACCTACAGCAGTTAGTATTTAGTTGCTGTATTTCAGTATTATTAAAGATGCAGTTAGCGATGTTGTTAGCTTAGCCGTAGCACCATCTCAAAACCACTCCCCCCTCCCCTCGCCTCTCCACCAAACCAAACATCCAGCATTTTCTTTTCATTGTCACAACATTGAGAGTGGGCGGCAAACGTGAAATTGGCTTTTTGTGTTCAGCCCTTTTAGGTTTTAGAAAATAATCCAATAACTCAGGTGCGCGCACTCGCGGGAAACAGGAAGAGGGTAAAGGGGTAAGGCAAGACAAGGCAAGTTTATTTATATAGCACAATTCATACACAAGGCAACTCAAAGTGCTGAACAAAACAATAAAGCATTAAAATCATAAATAATCACAGAACATTAAAAAGAAAGATAAAAGTATAAAATCCCTCAGTTGTATGCACAGTTAAACAGAACTGTCTTTAACCTGGTTTTAAACATTGTCAGAGAAGAGGCCTGTCTCACATCTTCAGGAAGACTGTTCCAGATTTTAGCAGCATGAATCTGAAAAGCAGCCTCCCCATGTTTAGTTCTGACTCTGGGCACTAACAGGAGTCCAGTCCCTGTGCTCCTCAGAGTCCGGGCTGGTTCATATGGGACTAACATGTCACTAATATATTTTGGTGCGAGGCCATGGAGAGACTTGTACACAAGCAGAGCTGTTTTAAAGTCTATTCTCTGAGCCACAGGAAGCCAGTGCAGAGACCTGAGGACTGGACTAATGTGGTCGTACTTCCTGGTTCTAGTCAGGACTCGAGCTGCTGCATTTTGAATGTACTGCAGCTGTTTTACAGCCTGTTTGGACAGACCTGTGAGCAGGCCATTGCAGTAGTCTAACCTACTGGAGACAAATGCATGGATAAGAATCTCCAAGTCTGCTTTAGACACTATGTTTTTGATCCTGGCAATGTTTTTTTAGATGGTAAAAAGCTGCTGATGTTACTGATTTGATGTGGCTATTAAAAATTTAAGTCTGAGTCCAGTATTACCCCTAGATTTCTGACCTTGTTTGAAGGTTTTAGGGAGAGAGACTGTAGGTGACAGATGACGCTCTCTCTTTGTTTCTGGGGACCAAAGACAATCATTTCAGTTTTGTCTGCGTTTAGCTGAAGGAAGTTGTTTTGCATCCACTCACTGATCTGTTGGATACAGTGAAGGAGTGAGTCCACTGGTCCATGTTCTCCTGCAGTCAGTGAGACATAGATCTGAGTGTCGTCTGCATAGTTGTGATAGGACACTTCGTTTCTGCGTATTAACTGACCTAACGGCAGCATGTAGAGATTGAACAGAAGAGGTCCCAGGATCGACCCTTGTGGGACTCCACAGGTCAGGGCCATATGATCTGAGACACAGTTTCCAATCTCCACAAAGTACTTCCTGTCCTCAAGGTAAGACCCAAACCAACTTAGGGCGGTGCCAGCGACGCCAACCCAGTCCTCTAGTCTCTGTAAGAGGATCTCATGGTCGACAGTGTCAAAGGCAGCACTCAGATCTACAAGATTAAGATTGAGACTTTGCCTGCGTCAGTGTTCAGCCGGATATCGTTTGTAACCTTAACGAGAGCAGTCTCAGTGCTGTGGTGGGGTCTAAAGCCGGACTGAAACATATCAAATGAGTTGTTGATTATAAGAAATCTAGTAAGCTGTAGGTAGACAACTTTTTCAAGGACTTTCCCCATAAATGGCAGATTTGAGATGGGACGATAGTTGTTAAGTACCGTAGCATTCAGACTGCTCTTTTTTAGCAGGGGCCTGATGACTGCAGTTTTCAGGGCCTTTGGGAATATTCCAGAATTAAAGGGACATGTTTACTATCTGTGTGAGTGAAGGTAACAGACTGCTCAGAACAGACTTTAGAAATCTAGTGGGTAGTACATCCAAGCTGCATGTGGAGGAGCTCAAACTGGAGATTATCTCTTGGACAGTTTTATCATTTAGATAAGATAAGATAAACCTTTATTAGTCTCACAGTGGAGAAATTTCAGTGTCATCGTTGCACATTACAGCAGAGAAAGGAAATAAGAGCACTCAGATTGCACACATCAAAGTCTATTTTTTAAGATAATAGACAATAAATTTAAGATAAAATAAAATAAAATAAAATAAGAAAATCTGGGCTATAATTGCACTTGGTTCAGAAGTATTTACAGATGTCTATATTATACATTAGCAGCGGAGAATATGAGAATATGAGCAGAATAAACATCAGAAATAATATCAACAGGTAAAGTGACTTGAATGGGAGAATTATCAGATGGATATGAATAATACAGTAAGATATCAACAGGTAAAGTGACGGTGAAAGACAGAATTATCAGATATGAAATAATACAGTAGTACTGATACAGTAACAGTAAATATCAGATATGTAGATATGTAGTACAGATATGTAGTACTGTAGTAGTACTGATAACAGGTAAAGTGACTAGTGACAAAGTTACTAGTGAATTATCAGAAACACTTGTGCAGACTCAGCAGTTCCTGTTACACATTCTCGTTGTACAGTCTGACAGCAGCAGGAAGGAAAGACCTGCGAAACCTCTCCTTCACACAGCGAGGGTGAATAAGTCTATCACTGAAGCTGCTCTCCAGAGCAGAGAGAGTGTCCTTCAGGGGGTGACAGTCATGGTCCAGCATAGATGTTAGTTTGCCCAGGACCCTCCTGTCCCCCACCTGCTGCACTGTGTCCAGGGAACAGCCCAGGACTGAGCTGGACTTCCTGATGACCTTGTCCAGCTTCTTCCTGTCCCTCTCTGTGATGCTGCTGCTCCAGCAGACCACACCGTACAAGATGGCTGATGCCACCACAGAGTCATAGAAGGTCTTCAGGAGTGGCCCCTGCACTCCAAAAGACCTGAGCCTCCTCAGCAGGTAGAGGCGGCTCTGGCCCTTCTTGAAGAGGGCGTCTGTGTTATGAGTCCAGTCCAGTTTGTGGTTCAGATGAACACCCAGGTACTTGTAAGAGTCCACTCTCTCAATTCCCTTTCCCTGGATGTACACTGGGGCTGGAGCAGCAGAGTGACGTCTGTGGAAATCCACCACCATCTCCTTGGTCTTCCCCACATTGATGAGGAGGTGGTTTACAGGTGCAAAGTGAGTTAGCTCAAAGAGCCTTTCTGGTTGTTGGATGGTTATCTGTGGATTGGAGACAATGGCGTTTTTGATGCCTTGAACCTTGTCATTGAAAAAATTAGCAAACTCATTGCATTTACGTTTGGAAGTAAGCTCTAATGGCATTTGAACAGGGGGGTTTGTTAATCTATTAACTGTTGAGAACAGAACACGCAGATTGTTGCTGCAGCCTTCAATCATTTCAGAAAAATACCTTTCTCTCGTACTACGTACTGTAGCACCCTGTTAAACTCGCACAACTTATCTTTGAAGATCTCGTAATCAACCTGGAGGTTTGGACTTGCGCCACTTCCGCTCGGCCCTCCGGCACTCTCTCTTTTGTGCCCTGACCGAGTCACTTCCCATTGGTTTGTTGGAGATGAACGAATCCCATAGGTTTTATTTTTATCGGTCCACTCCAAAATATTTTGTATACATTTTTGGAGACTGTAAGCATCTGGTCAATTCCAATATTTCTTGAAAACACATGATTACTTGACTTGACTGTAGTTTTAGGGTTTAGGGACGTTTTCCCACAATATTTAAAAAAATGCATCTGGAAAAAAATCACTGACTGCATCTTTTAGTATTTATTAAAGACTTAAAAAAAGTATGAATTACTTAATTTTAATGAAGTAGTAAAAATCTAAAACAGTTTTTTGGGGATTTTTTTTAGAATTCTATTGATTTGAATGGGAGCCGTCAAAATGACTGCTTTGGGAGTTCTAGTAGTTTCAGAATTCTGGGGGTCTGTGTGTTAAAAATAACTATTTATGCAGAAATCAGTATATATTTACCCACAAGATAGCGCGTTTAAAAATAGATTAGTTTGGAGATTGAACGAACAAATTATTTTCCATTACAAAATCCCGATCCCACTTATTTCGCCGCAGCACTATGTCTATTCATGAGATTTTTGCTTGTTTGAGTCCAACTTCAAAACCCGGACACACTTTCTACCCCACTCTCCTCTGAAGTAAAATAAGTAACGTGCGCTCAAATAACAAAGACAAGATAATTATATGGAGGTAATAGCATCTGGGAAAATAATGAAGACTCTGGAGGATTGAAAAACTTCTTCAGCTGCAGTTTACGGCCTCTCTTTGCTTTCTGCATATTGGCATAACACAGCCATTTTAAACTGGCCTCATTAGACGGGCTTTGTGGAGCGACACTGTAACGGTAAACACAGAATTTATGTCAGTGGGGAACTTTCTTAACATCAATAATCGCAAAATATAATAGAAATGAATGAAATGTTTAAATATTAGGATTATATTATCTGGCTGTGATTTTTTTTTTAAACATATATATAAGATTGGTATTTGATTAGTTGTGTGCTGACTGAATGTCGATAAACTTTTACTGTATGCATCATTTCCTGGCTCTGACGTACTTCAGTTCTTGGACATTTCATGTTTTGGGACTTGATGGGTTTGTGTGTCGAAAAATAAATGCTTTGAAAAATCTGTAGAAACTAAATGCTCTGTATTCAGGGGTGTACATCTTTTAGTAGGGCCACTTTAGTTCAACACATTTTCCAGGAGCAACACAAATTTACTGGATTCAGGCTGTTCTCAGCTTTAAAATGAGATGTGTCATGTCTATATTGGTTCACATTTGACGGAGCTGTAGTTGGCTGAATGACAAATGTTTGCTCACCAGATACATTTGCGCTATCCAATCAAAAAGAAATGTAAGTAGAGTCAAACAAAGCCAACGAATGGATTTCAGAGATCCTGAAATTCACACAGTTAGATATGAAATGTATTGGCAAACCTGAAGTTGGCTGGATGACACTGTAAAGACTGACTTTAACTTAGTAAGGTAGAAGGCCACATAAAATGACACATAGGGCCGCGATTGCCCCACAGGCCTCAGTTTGGCCATGTCTGATCTAAACTGTAGTTGTTGGATTTTTACCTCCAGCTTAAGCTTCGACACGTTTGGAACAGGAGAATGTAAGAATAAAGTGGTTAGAGGCAAAGAGTCGAAGAACGCCTCAATGTAAATGTGAAAGGAAATGTGAAACAATCAGGAATGTTTTTTGGAAAGGGAACAATGATGTCACACGGTTAAAAGCTCTGAAAACAAGAAACGTCTTTTAAATCAATTTAGACCAAAATGGAACACATTAGGATAAAGTCAATTTGGAACGAAGCTTCGATGGTCCTGGATTTATTTACCAATTTTCAGACAAATGATGCAACATTGAGTGCGGCCAATGAGACAATAACATGAGCCTTGAAGTGTTATTCCGTTTTATACCAGTCTATAAAGCGAATGTCATTATAATGTAACTACAAGAAACGCTATTGCACCATATTTGCTTTTTCACCTGCACAATCAAGGTTAGTTTGTTCTATAGCTTATTTTATAGAGCTGGATTATCTTTATTTTATTTCTTTAACTCAAGTTTTAGTTGTTTTTTGGAATAAATTCAGTATATATGCTTGAAGATAAAAAGTGCTTGTGATAGACTGATAGACCAATCATGATTACTGCTTGCTTTATGGTTCAATGTGTTGAATAAAATATATGATATGATTATTTAAACATAATTATCTTTGAAATTATATATAACATGTCAAGGCCACCCATGTAAACCTCTTACTATCACGCCCTTGTCCACGTACCCCCGCTTGGGAAACACTGTGCCGTATTGACCCACAGCCATAGGACATCTCCCGGAGAACACGACTATAATAAATGAAAGTATTACGTTTAGCTCTATTTCTGTCCCGTTTGGATCCGTGAATCACATCCAAAATAAATGACCAGAGCTGTGTCCTTGCCTGCCCTCCCTGTGGCTCTTCTGGGGGCCACTAGCATGTGTTTGAACTGGGACAGAGCAAACAGGCTGACACTGGCTGCTCGTCATTATGTCAAGAGTAAGGTCAGCTCTCTATCCTCTACTCGTGAGTGTGGTGGTGGATCTCTGTGGACTTTTACAGTGGAGCGGAGCCTGCGATGGGCCCGATGTGATTCAGACAGTTCAAAACACCAGTGAAAGCATACAGTCAGCGCTCTCTGTTTCCCTGGCTCTTTATCCCAATATGGCCGACACTGCAGATTTCAACAAACTGGAGTTGAACTAAATAATCTGTTCTAGTTTGAGAGATGAAAGTAGACGTAGGAAGACGGCCTGCTTGCAGTTTTTGTGACTATAGGGAGTGAATGTTGCAGTTTCTGTTAGTAGGCAAAACAGACAGGTCCGAGACTTCAAATATCAAAGCTGTAAAAGGCAAGGCAAATGTATTTGTTTAAGGAAAATAGAAACAAAAACATAAATAATCACAGTATAGAAGAATACTAAGAAGCAGCTTAACTGTTTTTAAACTGGATTTAACGTTGACAGAGTGGAAGCCTGTCTCACATTCTCAGGAAGACTCCCCGGGATTAGTCCTGACTCTAGGCACCAGCAGATGGCCAGTCCCTGTGCTCCTCAGAGTCACAGCAGGAGGCCAGTCCCTGTGCTCCTCAGAGTCACAGCATGAGGCCAGTCCAAAATTACTATTGCAACAACATATCATCAGTAGGGTAAAGCTAACATGTCTCACAACGGTCTAAACCCATCTCACGTTCCCTATTAGAGGGTGAACTCACAGCATGAGGCCAGTCCCTGTGCTCCTCAGAGTCACAGCATGAGGCCAGTCCCTGTGCTCCTCAGAGTCACAGCATGAGGCCACTCCCTGTGCTCCTCAGAGTCACAGCATGAGGCCAGTCCCTGTGCTCCTCAGAGTCTGAGTTGGTTCACCATGTCACGAATGTACTTTAAAGGCATTCTCGACAATGAATGCCCTTAATGTACATCCGTGACAATAAATGCCGTCAATTTATTTTCTTCTACAGTACTAATTCTCACAAAACTTTCAAGATATTGACCACAAGCGTAAATATCTGTTTCTTCAGAAGGCTATAAGAAATGTGGGCGTATTCCTTAAAGCAATTCATATCAGCACTCTTTGCAGCCCTTTTGTTTTACAGTAAATTCAATACAAGAATACATGTGTAAAATCAGACACAGTTTATACAATATGCGAGAAGTGGATCAGATTGCTACTTCTAGAGAGACTCGAACAGACCCAAATGAATATTATTAGAATTGTATATTGCCCGCCAAGTAATCTGACAATACATAAATTACACATATGACTCTGAGGACATTTTTTTCAAGATTACATTTGTTGTGCTGTAAAGAATATGGTTAGGATTTGGCGCTATAGACCCCTGCACTGCACGATTGCAGAAGGGGAAAAGAGATTATTATGAAAACCTGGAGGTAGTATAGCTTCATATTTGTGGAACTTGCAGTTAGCTGTCTTGAAATTCTGTTCTTCCAAAAAACATGGACATTAGTAGATGCATCATCATTATTGGTATAGATATTACTACTTTATTGGTTCCTTTCCTCAGTCTATTTTTGGATCCCTCGTTGAACCCCTGTTTGGCGTCCTCAGGTGGGCTGGCAGCTGAAGAACCTGGTGAACGCCCTCAGAGAAGACCCATGTGGCGTCATCCTCACTCTCAAGAAACGGCCCCAAAACACGCTGAGCTCCACCCCAGCGCTGCTCCGGAACGTGCGCTGGAAACCCCTCGGCCTGCAGGTACAGATATCTATTTCACTGTGATGCATAATTACAGATTGACAACAGTTACTCTATCTGCCCACGTCTCAAATGTATACTTATGCAATGTTGTGAAGCCAACTGATACCTAGCAACTGGTTGTTTTCACTGCAAAAAGTGATGAATAATAAGTCAAAAGTTGTTCAAATTCTTCAAAATTCATCTTAATTTAAGCAAGTTTTGACTCCCTTAAAACAAGATTTGGGACAAGCAAAATGATCGTGTTTTAAAAAGATACAAGAAATGTCTCCCTTGAAATGATAAAAGAAGGTAATACAGTAGTGCTTAGAATAAGGCTTTGTCCCATTTGCATTGGTTATTTTGCATCATCCAAAAGGAAAAGAAAACATTCACTATATGTTATAATAGTACTTTTTTATTTTGCTTAAATTCTTCAACAACTTTGATGTGATGTGACTGATTGGGACATTACCTATATGTATACCCATGTACGACTAACAGTTCCAAGTACCATGAGTCCACAAAAAATACATTTAATCCAGATTATTGCTGGTTTACCTAACTTTTAAGCCACAACAATGGAACAATGTAACAGGTAAGCTTTATGGGTACATCACTAGTTTTCACATGTGTGTAATTTTACCCTCAAATCAGCTTTTTCAGTCAAAAAAGTGAAAAAGAGAGGACCACCCTCACTGAGCTCTTTCTTTAAAAGTATGCAAAATATAATATGTTTTTCAATAAGATGAAGACAGCATGTTGTGGTCAGATTCATTCACAAACATGTTCTTTAACAAGACTCTTTCTGTTGGAACAAACACAATGTATTATTTAAAAACAAAAAGATACGTACTCGGGGCGACAGTAGCTCAGTTGGTAGAGCATTGGCCTTAAGCCCAGAAGGTTGTGGGTTCAATTCCCACCTCTGCACCTTCTCCACCGACTCCCACTGATGACTGCTGTCGTTGTGTCCTTGGGCAAGACACTTAACCCCACTTTGCCCAAAGCTCCCACTGAAAGATCAAGGCTATGCTCACACTCAGAGAGCAGCCGTCCTCCTGTGGACTCACCACCTGCAGAGGGTCAGTGAGGGGCTGGTGCTATGAGACTTGGGTGCAGCTCTGACTGCCACCCCCCTGACCCAGAAATGGATTAAAGGGTAGAAAATGGATGGATGGAAGATACGTACTCTGGCTAAACGACGTTTATGGACTTTTTCTGTTTCATTGTCTGTGTTGGCGAATCTGACGGTTTTGCAAAGTCCTCCAACATGACTGCTGTTGTGATTTAGAGCTGTAAAAAATAATGTGAATTAAATTAAATTGCATCTTTATATACTATCTCCATTGACTCAACTGTTGCGGCTTTGACATTGTACACACGCCTTCTAGGGACAGTCGTTTGAAACAGTGTCCCAGCAAACACCTCACCGCCACCACCTGTCTTATCCTCAGCGGGACGTCCCCTCGCTCTCTCGGGTCCTTAACTGATACAATGACACGCTGCTCTTTACGCATGACTGTACCACCCATTCAGCAAGGGAGTAGCAAATTGAATTTTGACCTCCATTCTCTGCCGCCGTACAGACACATGCTGTATATTGACACACCATTCAGCGCAATGTGAATTTACTGTCTTGATTCTATCGTGCATTGTTTTCGCTGAGAATAGCAATGGCAAGAAAGGGCAACACAAAGTGCTGAACAAAACAAGATAGAAATGCAGCCTGTTTAGTTCTGACTCTGGGCACAAGTGTCACAGGTTAAAAGAGTCTGTTGAGGGGATGTGATTAATAAAAAAGAAAGAGGATAGATAAAAAGGGGATACAATTTAATAAAATATATATACAAAAGAGGATCCGTTAAAAAAAGAGATAAAACCGTAGTCCGCTGGTCCGTGTCCAGGGCCGGACTGGCCATCGGGCGTACCGGGCAATGCCCGAAGGGCCGATGCCCATATTTGGGCCGGTCTGTCTGCCTCATACAAAAAACATGTTTGTGAAAAGTGTACATCCGTTGAGAAATGTTTGAGGGGAGCGCGGGTGTCCGCGGGGCACCTGCTGTATGTACTCGAACGGGATTTCATCACTTCAGCGGCCGCAGTGTTCCCGCATTCAGCGGCTCTGAGCTGGACGCAGGAACCGCTCAGTGGGAACCGCTCACAACACAACACGGGGAGCGCGTAGCCGCAACGTGCCCATGTACCCAAGACCATAAACGTGCACAGGACCATGCATGTCTTTTCGTAATTTGTGCACCCAATAAATACACCGCTGCAGAAAACAGTCCGCGTCTCCCCTCTCCTCTAAATTAAAGCTCGGGTACCTAAATTTTCCATTGCATTAAAAGTTCATGTTTGAGCCCAAAAGTAAAATGTTGTGAACAGATTAAACAGATTTAGAGCCAGCTAATGGCTGACAATATGCATTTCAGAAATGTTTACCAATTCTCATCCCTGTAACAAACAATAGTGTTGTCTTTGTCCACCTCCCTCACTCTGAGACATGTTTTTTACTCTGCAATAAAAATGCAATAAAAATATAACACACACACCAAAACACACCACACAAATAAAAGCAGTTAAAAGTCCTTGTTAAAAGTTCACTTTCTCACACAAGCAGAAGACCAGTCCCTCCAAAAACAATCAAACATAAAAAAAAAACACCAAAGAAAATGATAACAAAAAAAGCTCTAAAACCAAACATGGGGAGAAAAACATATCAATATATATAGTCTAAAAATTACAAAACGTATGTAAATTTATCTCAAAATCATTTTAAGCGAACCCCTGTGTTTTTCTAATTCATAATCATATAAATAATGTTCAGTCACCAAAGTTGCATAAATCCATAAATATGCAACTTTGAGTGAGTTATGAGCCTAATGTTGCGTGGTTAATACCTATTCAAAGTCAGTTTGCATGGTAAACAAACTGTGTTATCATTTTGCACTACAAAGCCCATCATAATTGCCCAATAAGCATTTCAGCTCCCGTTTTGTGTCAGTATCAGAAACTGTACATCTGCAGGACTCAAAGAGGTGTGTATTTTCCTCAGCCCCAATTAGAGCTCCTTCCTTCTCCTGTGTCAATAACTGATCTTGGAGCCTGATTTTTTTTTGTGCAAACTGAAACCTTATTTGAAAGCGATAACTCAAAGTGGAAGCTGCTGCAATGAGAGAAAATGAAAACCCTGTCACGCATGAAATCCTATCTGCACTCTTTGAACAGCGTCCGATAAAGATATAATAACACCATTCGAACTTTCTGCTCCAAGAAATAGTGCTGAGTACTGCAAGGTCACCCCGGGTCCGACGGAGGTCTTAGTTCATTCATCCTTCACCCCCAGGGCGTCTCATCCTCAGAAGGACTAAATGTTTAATGCACTTGGATATAAAGAGGTGCAAGGGCTATTTAAAGAAACATTGCTTTGACAAGAGATTATGACATAGATATCAAAACATTGGATTCAGTTAAAGTGAATACATCCGCACATTGTGTCTTGCACCAGGTTATGTCCATGTCGTTTCCATGTTCCAGTTCCATACGGGTGAACTTGCAGCCTGATCGGACCAGGATCACATACAAAAAAGCTCATTTAAAGGATTCAGTGCGCTCCTAGTGGTCAACCGTGCAACATGCAAGATGTAAGATGGACAAATTAATGACAATGGCAAGGAATACCAGACTGGGTGGCACGGGGGCTGAGTGGATAGCACTCTCGCTTCTCAGCAAGAAGGTTCTGGGTTTGAATCCTGGTCGGAACAAGACCGTTCTGAGTGGAGTTTGCATGTTCTCCCCGTGTCTGCCTAGGTTTCCTCCGGGTACTCTGGTTTCCCCTACCAATAAAAACATGTGCAATAGTTCAGGGTGAATGAGTATGTGTTTGTTAGTGCGACCCTGGGACAACGGATGCAAATTAGCCCAAGGCTACAATGATGTGTTCATTAACATGTACTGTCCCAACCAAATAAACAATAAATGCATAGCATTGGCCTTAGGACCTGAAGGTCGTGGGTTAGAGCTCACCAAAAGACCTACCTCACGACTCCCACTGATGTCTGCTGTCGTTTTGTTCCTGGGCAAGACACTTAACCCCACTGTGCCTGAAGCCCCCGCTGAAAGATCAGGGCTCCTGTTATGCATACACTGTGATCCAGAAAATCTAAGTTGAGAAATTTGTGTTCATTCCAATCTTTTCATTCCACTATGGGTACGTTAGAGAGTTGGAGCGCCAGTTCGACAGATCACATATAATCAGGATGTCAATTGTGTGAAATAGTAAAAATTAAGTAACTGTGTGCAGCTGCTAATGGGGTGAAGAAGTGAAGAATCTGAGGGTCTAGTTTCACAAGTGAGGGGTGATGGAGCTTTGTATACGGATGGTTACCTATGGTCATGAGCTTTGGGTAATGGCCGAATAACAAGATTACAGGTACAATCAGTGTGTGTGAATCAAACAACTTTGTAAAGTCCTTTGAGACGACCGCTGTTGTGATTAATGGCTTTACAAAAATAACTTGAATTGACTGCACAATATGTGAGCTGGCAACGAGTAAAATGGGATAAAATGGATGGGTGGATACTTGGAGGTGGTTACCCTCTTTTACTATTGAAATCATCTGTAAATAACACAATTATTATTATTTATTTATTCAGTATCTTTTCTAGTCTTGAGTAACACGAAGTTCCTAAAAAAAAAAAAAAAAACATTTCTTAAAATTGCTTATAATATCTTTGTGTAAAAATCTCCTATAATGAATAGTTTTTTGGTTCTTTGTATTGACAGTGAAAGTGGAAAGAAATAAAAAATTAATGTTTTTTAGGTACAATTTTAGTGGGACAGGTGCGGCTTATAATTCGGAATACTTGGTACACACAATGAACATTCAGCAGTGCATCATAAAGCCTGCAGCAGAATCAAAATATAATACTATCTTTCACGTCAAAAGCTCCAACTTTCACTCATGACGTGTGGCCAAAGTTATTTCACTTTTTGTCATTTTCTCCGACCTGCCAGA